GAACTCAGGTTGTCATGCTTAACTGTAAGCCCCCCAACATGCTAAGCCACTTTTCCAGCTCTCAAAATGTCAAAATTTAGAGATTGGTCTTATTTTTATTTGTGAGTGTGCACGTTTGCACGTGTCTGTGAGGGAATGCCTCATAGATACCTGTGGAGGCCAGCAGACCGTGCCAGATCCCCTGGAGCTGAGTTACAGGTAGCTGTGAGCTGCTGGGTGTAGCTGCTAGGAACCGAACTTGGGTCGTCTGGAAGAACAAAAGCTCTTAACCTTAAAACAATAATTGTTTGTTTTTTACTTTTATTTGCATTTATTTTATGCTGAATTTATTCCTGTGCCTGTAAGTTTTTGTTTCTTCAGTTTCTTCTGGGATATTTTTTTCTTCTGTGCAACCTCCTCTTCTGGCTTTGAAACAATCTGTTCCTTTTCAGTGAGAATCATCTCCATGTGGCAGGGGGAGCTCATGTACAGATTAATCGGGCCATGAGCTCTGTAAGTTCTTCGGCACATTTTAGGTGCTTTGTTACTTGGATGTGTTCAGTGATTAGAGAATCTACATCTAAACCCTTCAGTTCAGCATCACTCTCTGTGTTTTTAAACATGTGCAGCAAAAATTCAGCTCTCTTTTTGGCCACCGACCCTGTGTCCAGCCCCACTTTTTGGCCTGGGCGCACCTACTACCTCTATCATTGTACCGTCGGAATGGCACACACTGCTTCTTCAAAGTGACATCTTTCAGATACTTGGTGGCTTTTCGGATATGCATACCCTTGATGGCCTGGGCTGTTTCACGGATGTTCTTAAAGTGAACCTAAAGGTTTGATCCTCTCAATTTGCATGATTTTGTAGGGTTTTCTGGGTTAAGAGAGTAGCGAACCATCTTCACCGATCACCTCTGGCTGCTTACAGGAAGAGCAAAACAATAATTTTTTAAAAAAAAAAGCTTTCTTAATACCACATAATCCACCTTATCCTTAATACCACAAGGATAAACTAATTTGATACTTAAACAATTAAGAAAATATTAAAAAGTCTTTGTTTTTCATAATTAAACCATTGTTTCTATAAGAGCAGAAAACTTCATGAGCACAGTAACAACACTGCCCTTCATCTTACATCCGAGGGTGTTTGATGCAGCATCCATTCGCACTGCATGGTGTGATGGCATGCACAGTGCAACATGGTGAGTGCTGACAGAAACCCCACTGTGTGTGAGGCTCTCATTAATTTCTGGCTGTAGTATGTTCAGAAACCTTTTACTGGTGGCCAGATTTGTCTCATTGAGTTTTAACTTAAGTGCCTCATGTACTGTATGCTTTATACACACACGGGGCCAGGGGAGCAGAGCCCCAACTTTAATGTTCTGAATACTTTTAAAAAAGTTTCATGGGACTGAGTGTTATATGTATGTAAGTCCACTGTGTGTGTGCCTGGTACCCTGAGAGATCAGAAGAGTGTGTTAGTTCCCCTGGAACTGGAGTTACAGATAGTTGTGAGCCTTCATGTGGGTGCTAGGAATCAAACCCTCTGCAAAAGCAACAAGTGCTCTTAACCACTGGGTCAACTCTCCAGACCCTCTTCACATTTTCTAAATCCAAGAGTTAAATTTTCCCAGCTAGGAACTTCGGTGGACAAACCGATAGCAAACTCATGAACTGAGTTGGAACATCAAAGAATATTCTCTTTGCCATAGATAAGTACAGGTTTCTGTTTGGGTTTCATCTGGCTGTGAGGATGCAGAAATAGAAAACAATGTGGTTTTGCTCCCAAGGTGCACAATCAGGTTGCTTGGAGATGAAAAGTACCAAAGAAACAAGTACCAGCTTCCTAAGGCCCATATGCGAGTGGGGGTGATGGCAAGCGCTGGAGCAGAAAGCAGCCTCCTTAGCACTAGCCTGTGACCCACAGTTCACACAGTTTAAATGTACATATCCTCTTCCTCCGTCACCCTTGGCAGCCTGGCATCCTAATGTCTACACTGTCAGCGACAGAGAAGTAACATACAAGGCCTTGAAAAGAACAGGTCGTGGCCATGATATTTAGTGGCTTAGCACTCCTCTGTGAAGAAGTCAATATGCTAATTATTAAATTACCATTGAAAACATCCAGGTCTTCACCGGGAAAGAGGTGCACAGAGGGAATGGGCTCATGACCTTAGAAGCCAGTCTTACACACTGGCGGCCAACTAACATGCTCTGAGGGCTTGGCTCTCTTTCGATTTTAGAAGCCACTCTACATTTCTGGTAAACCACAGGTGAAGTTGTCCTGAGAGGCAGATGTTTGGCTGGTCTTGAGGCCTGTGGCTTTCCATAGAGAAATAACAGCACAGGCCACATGAAGCTTTTACTTCCTCTTTTTCTTTCTTTCTTTCTTTTTTTCTTTCTTTCTTTCTTTCTTTCTTTCTTTTTTTTTTTATTAAGTGGGGCCAAGGCAAGAAGGGCAGTTTGTACTTTTCATGCATGGACAGCAGTGATAGAGTATGTTCATCATCAGATGTCAAATTCATATTTCTGGAAGTGTAGTAGTTTGAGATGTCTATAAGACAGTCAACTGAGTGTTCCCAGTAGCACTGGATCATAGATGCAGCCTTAGGAAATAGTGACAGCCAAGGCAGCATGCAGCAGGTTGTCTTGGGAGTTTGGGTGAGAAGAAAGTCCAAAACTCTGGAAACACATTTAGAGGCCAGGTGGTACAGGAAAACCAAAAGGACCGTTTGTCATGAAGTGGAGGTCAGGTCTGCTTTCAGAGGTTAGCCTGGATATCTCTGTGGTGGGGCTTGTTTGTTTGCTGTCGGGTGTTGGTGATGTTTTTTTTTGTTGTTTGTTTGTTTGTTTGTTTGTTTTTTTAATGTTTTTTGTTTGTTTGTTTTGTTTTTCTTTGGTTTACCTTTTAATGCAGGGTCTGATGTAGCAAGACCAACCTCAGAGTTTGTGCACAGAGGAATGACGTCATCCTCCTGCCTCCATCTCTCAAGTGTTAGAATTTTAGTTAGGCCAACTTCGCCTGGCTATGGACCCTTCTCCATTTCTTAGTCTAGTTCTATGATGAACACCCCAGTTCAGCCCCACCTTGTCTCACAGTTGACTTCACTTGTTTCAAAAACTTAGTGAATACCCAGTGCCCTGCACCCTAGGGAGGGAAAATGGCATGTGACAGAATTCCTGTCTTGTAGGGTTTACAGACTGAGTAAATGGGAGGGGCTGGTCACAGGGCTTTACTTTTGGAACAGAAAGGATTTGAGTCTGCATCTGAAATGAACCTTGGAGACAGACTGGGTCATTAGACATCTGCATGGGAGGAAGGGAGGGAGGCCTTAGAAGTTGGCTCAGGTGGACAGTCACTGTCCACAGATGATGTTCTTAGACAGGGGCTGGGGAAAGATGCAGTGCTTTTGTTTGTTTGTTTGTTTGTTTTTGGATTTTGTTCTTTATTTTTCCGAGACAGGGTTTCTCAGTGTAACAGCCCTGACTGTCCTGGAATTCGCTTTGTAGACCAACCTGGCCTCAAACTTACAGAGATCCACCTGTCTCTGACTCTCGAGTGCTGGGATTAAAGGCATGAAGCCACCACCCCCTGACCAAGATGTAGTTTTTGTTTTTGTTGTCTCATGTAGCCTGTGCTATTTTCAAATCTGCTGTGTAGCTTGAGTATAACCTTAAACTTCTGATCCTCTTGCACTAGAATTACAAGTATGTGCTTAAAATCTGTAGTTTTGAAAAATTCCTTGGCAGAGGCTTGTAACAGACTGTATGGTGAGCTAAGTTCCTGGAGGTAGGGCTGGAGGTGGGGCCTGGACCTGCACTGGGTAGGTGGGAAGGAAGGACTGAGCAGAACTGAAGAACTGGCATGCTGGTGTTAAGTGAACTGGCACGTGTTGTTTCAGGATAGCCACTAACATAGAATGAATTTCATAGGAAATGTCAGGAAACAGAGGATCTGTGAGGCTGGGTAACCTTGATCAGTTTCTTTAACTATCTATGGCTTAGCTCCCATCTCTGTAAAATGGAGTAAGAACTGCACTTTCTTAGATTGGGGGTGATGTGACAGGTACTTAATAGCCACCACTGGTTTGCATGCTGTTTCTCACGTTCTTCTCTCATATGACCCAGATGGCCCAGAACTAGCCCCTTTCCTCTCTTCTGCTGAACATGTGTGTCACTGGGCACTAACCCTACATCTGATCCCACAATCTGGTATTCCACCCCCAAACTGTCTCTCACAGCCCATTCCTCTTCTCAGAGCCCCCTCCAAGCCTACAGTGCTGCCACTTTCCTTGGTAACCTGTCCCATGCCCTCCTGCCTTGGTGTGAAGACGCTCTGTGCTGCCAAAGGTCACAGTCGTCCATCTGTCTTCTGGGCTTCCTTGGTGCACAGGGAGATGCCCTTGCTTCTTTGTGCTTGGTCAAGTAGTACCTCAGTGCTCTGGAGTGATCCCACATCCACTTGCCTTACCTACTGAAAGCCAGTCACGGTTTAATACACGTCCTGGCAAGAGTTTTCAGAGTCCCTCCCAGTGCTAGGGGTTTGGTAAATTATTACAGTGAGTTAATGGCCTAATCACCTACCAGTGTAGTGTGCCAGCCTCTGCTCTGTTCCTGGTCTGCCATGGGCCCTCAGAACTCTGTGCAGTCTGGTCTCAGTCTCTTCTGCAGGCAGTCACTTTTTCTGCATACCTTGTCCTTGCAGCTTCCAGAATGTTCCTGTGTCCTTCCTGGTCAGCTTGAAATCCAGCTGGAACCCACCTGGCAGGCTAATGCTCTTCCTGGTTACTTCCCCTAAGTCAGGCAGTGCAAGCTTCCTCCTCCTAGCTCCACCCACCACCCTTTGTTTCTCTACTGCTTTCCTTAGAGGCCCAACAGTCATCTGTACCTATTCCCTTCTCTGGGCTGAATGGGAAGTCTTTGAGGGCAGAGCTCTTTCTTCTTCTAGTTCTGATAGAGATGATGTGTGCAGCTTAGGATGCCTGTTGATTGTATGCCTGATGTCGACGTCAAGTACCAGAGGAGTGTGTGCTTCCTTCTTGTTTCTCACAGATTGTTCCCTCTGAACTATATCAATTATATTGAAAATTGACAGTGATGAGTCATATCCTAGCAAAGGGAGAAATCGGAACTCGCAGAGCTTGAAGGACTAGAGTACGAGGTTGCAGATGGGTCTTACAGGCCAGGGCTGGCCATTCTCGACGTTTGTCCCGCTGGTCTCTAACACCCGGAGTGGGAGGCCCCTCTTGGGCAGGTGATTTATTGGCAGGGGCCCTTCCGTAGTGATCACTTGTGAAGTGCTGGCTGATACCCGGGCCTGGCGGGAGCGAACACCCCAGCCGCGGGCCGGAGCAGCCATGGGGGTGGGGACCGGCGCGGGTTTCGCTGCCTCTCAGTGGGCGTGTGACCTGGCCTGCGTGGGGAGCAAGTTTCGCTACTGTGGTGCCCCGCCCGCAGGGAGGACCCTGAGAAGGCCGCGGCGGGGACCCGGCCGCCTACGGGGGCCGGGCGGGGCGGAGTCGAGCGGGCCGCGGCG